AGTACTTGAAGTATAAAATATAATCTGGGTTGATGATGTGAAAAATGAAAATGTTAACATTGTAGTAACTTGAATGTCTTCCTTTTTTCTTTTGTTTTGGTTTGATTTTGGCTTTTTGGTTTAAGGCGGGGTCTTGCTGACGTTAGCTCAGGCTAACGTTGAACTCTCTTAGTAGTCGTCCTGCCTCAGCCTCCCAAGTGCAGAAATTACCGCTGTGGCCACTGCATCCAACTTGTCTTTCTTATTTTCTGTGAAGTTAGAAAATACAGCTGCCATTTTTCTACATCATCATTTGTACCCTATCATTTACCACCACCCACTGGCCCTATTCTCCTTTAAAACTATTGAAATTCTTCCTACTTTAGCCATCACTCTTAATGCTTTAATGAATTGTTTAGCCCAGATTCTGCATTTTAGTAGACTGCTCATGTGGCATAAATGTGCTCCATAGATTTAGTTCTGACTGGAGACTAATTCAAGAAGATTCATAGAAGCAAAGAACTCACTGTCCCTTTCATTGGGGACACATCTCCACTTTTCTCTCTTAAATTTCACCTAAGATTCCCTTGGAGGGGAGTGGGAAAGATTTTGCTACTAAAAAAAGTTTGATTATACACTGGTTTAGATTACAGTTTATGTTTAGGTGTTACCAGGAAAAAGTACTCATCCTGTTTGTATAGCACTTCATGTTGTGTTAAGGCTATTTTCATGTATGTGAAAATCAGATTCTCTTTCTTTTTTTTTTTTTATCGGTACCGGGGATTGAACTCACGACTGCCTGCTTGCAAGGCAGGCGCTTATGCCGCTGAGCTAAATCCCCAGCCCCAAAATCACAGATTCGCATTCCTCCTTGTAACTGATACATTAGTTGTCACTCTGGTGTATGTGTAGATTTTCATTCCCAAACTCAGTGTTAGAAAGTTACAGAGTTATACCTTTCTCTGATGGAAAATCAGACATGCTACTGTTTTAACTGGCGTGTTAAGAGTTAGCACCATATACTTTATTTGTGTGGCATTGAGGATCAAAACCAGGGCTTCACACATGCTATGATCTCCTCCACCCTGAGCCACATCTTCAGCCCATAGAACCATATATTCTTCTTAGAAGTTTAGAAATAACAAGAAAGAATGCATATTAAAATGTGAAGATTTAACATAATAGGAAATGCTGTACTACTCTGATCCTTCGGAATAGCTTAAAGTATAAGCTGGAAGTTTTTGATTTAGGTGCTTTCTTTTCTTTTTTTTCTTGATATTTCTATGCCCAGCCAAAGAATTTTTACTTGGATGTATTTTTCGTTTGGTTTGATTTGATTTGCTTTGGTTTATGTTGGTGATGGTCTTTTTTATTTTCTGTTGTCAGAGTAATAAATATTTTCTCCTTCTAAAAATAGTACTAAATGATACTATTATGACCTGGTAGCTTTCAGAGAGACTAGCATAGGCAAGCCCCCCTGATTTTGGTGTGTCCAGTCCTATAAGTTTTACTTAGTGCTTCTAACCTGGCATTGTCAGCTGCTGGGCTCTCCTCCACCTTTCTGACCCAGACAAACCAGAGTGTAGCCTCTGACTAGATCCAAGGCTGTTAGCAGGGAAGTCACTTCATAAATCATAGTGAGGCTTGTCAGTTAATAGCCTCTTTGCTCATGGTTATTGATGTTACATCATGATTCTTTCCCTCTACAGATTGAGCCTACAGATAGATTATTTCCTTATGAGCCAGACTGTCTCTACTTGGGGTAAAGAAATATTTTTGGATTTGGTATTTGGAAGACAGAGTGGAAAAGACATTTACTGACATGGTTTTAATTAATCCGTTAGGGCCTAGGCAAATCTCAGATTTTTCACTTCAGCCGTTTGACTCATGCTTTCAGAGAAACCAGTTTGTCTGGCCCTATCTATAGGTGTGGGTATAATTTGTAAAGACTGATAGCAAGAATGTGATTAACTCATTCAAAAGTGAATTTAAAGCACACTCAAAAATTAAGCCTAGTTCACCAATTAGAATGTCCTTACCAAAAAGCTGCCTACTTTGCCATTAGACATTTACAGATGTTAACTGAATAAATCATTTTCCCCAAATTCTATTACAAAGTAACTATGTCTTCTGACAAACTCCTCTTCCTCCTAGATCTATTTCATGAGTATAATTTTGCATTAAATACCCCAATTTCCATCATCAACCAAGTTTGGGGCACTTGTCTGACTCTGTGCTAATCAGTGTCTACACAGATGAAATGCTTTTATCTGTCCCCTGTGGAACGTGTACTGGTCCAGTGGAGGAGACCTGGCAGCACAGGAGTTGTGGCAGGTGGGATGGTTCCAAGAGCAGGCTAGACAGGCAAACGCAACTGTCTGAATGAACTTTTTACGTTCTACCTGTGTGTTCTAGGCCCCATCTTTCAGAAGGAAAACATCGTTTACAGGGACTGTGTCTCAGTCTTCTGTTCTCAGCACAGTGACTGGCAAAGTAGAGGTACGCAAAATATGATCATTGAATAGATGAGCAATGCATACAGTTCCATTAAATTGTATAAAGGAGCTCTTCTGGGTATTTGGACATCAAAGATACTGATGCCAACCTGGGATAGCCATTCTGGTAACTTCAAAGCAAAAAAGGATTTGCTACAGACAGGCAGATCTGGGAGAAAGCGTTTGGCATTACTGTAAATCATTTTCCTAAAAGTAATGATTGTAAACATTTAGTGTTCATCTCTAGAGAGAAATAAGAAGACAGCTCTTACTCTCAGGCAAAGGCTATTTTTTTTTCTTCTCACCTCTCATGATTTAAGTGTGGATCTGTCTAGGTTTTTAAAATAAAAGGTTTCCAGGCTTGGGGTCATTGTAGAAGTTCTGTTCTGTTCTGTTTTGTTTTTGTCTTCTTGAGACAAGGTTTTATTAGGCAGTTCAGGCTGGCCTTGAACTCACATTGTAGCCCAAGCTGGCCTTGAATTCCCAGCCATCCTCTTGCCACACCTCTAGAGTACTGAGATTGCAGGCGTGTGCAGCCACACCAGCTTGTAGAATTTTAAAAATAAGAATCAATATGGAGGGCTAGGGGTTAGCTCAGGGGCACAAGTGACTGCCTGGCAAGCACTAATTCCTGAGTTTGATTCCCATTACAAAAAAAAAAAAAGAGTGAAATGGATAAGGGGCTAGAGATATAACTCAATGGCACAGCACCTGCCTGACAAGTGTGAAGTCCTTCCTGAGTTTGATTCCCAGTATCCAAAAAAAAAATCAAGTGGGTAACATCAGTGGGCCCTGGAGCCAGCTGTTGAGTTGTTTGAACTTGCCCTTAACAGCAAGTAGTAGGCCGAAAAACAGTAGTGGGCTGGATTCTTCATATGTCCTTAATAATTCTAACAACCTTTGGTAGAATATGGTGGACACTTTGTTTCAGGAATTGTTTGGCTTGTGATAGGAATAGAAAAGCCCAAGCAGTAGGCAAGAGCTACTGTAGTGACAGCCTTTAGGGAAGCGCAGCCACGCCTGGGTGGCAGGGCAGGGCAGGGCACTGCTCACAGCAGGGTTCACAGCATTCTTGTAGTGGCTTGGTGGAGAGTGCAGGGCTGCTGTGGCCAGTGCTTGTCACTAGCAAGAGGGCTTTCTGCTGTGCTGAGGCTGAGAAACGGTTTTCATTGAATGCTCTTCTCTTTCAGACCCACTTATTTAAACTTTGGTACTTCACACAAGCGTATTTTAAAACTTCTGACATCTCCAGATTCAGAATTTCTGAAATTGTTTAGGTAGTTTTCACTCCCTCACTCCCAGTTTTTATCATTAACCCTGATTTTCTTTTATTAAAATAATAAATGATGCAGCATGATATTTTATATTTGGATTAACTGGTGACTGGCATATTACAAATGATAGTGGCATTGTACAGTGACAGCCTTTATTAAAAGACCAGATATATATACGTTCAGTTTGAATTGTTGGTGGTGCTTTGGCATTTATTTTTGCTGGCTTTGATCTTAGAGCTTCTCTTTTCTGTAAAGTTGTTTTGAATTTGGGTTATTAAAATGATAACAAACAGCTGGGTGTGGTGACACATGCCTATAATCCCAGGCTCAGGAGACTGCGGCCAGGCGAATGGTTTCAAATTCAAGGCCAGCCCGAACTACGTAGCAAGATCCAGTCTCCAAAAACAAAAATTAATACAAATTTTTCTCATTTTATGGAAGCATTTCTGATCACATTAGCAGATACACAAATTCTCAACTGCCCAAAGTATACTGATTTTCTTATTGAATGCAAAATTTTGGTTTTTTGAGGAACTTGACAAAGTGAGTCTAACTTTTTTTTAACATATTAATTTTTCAACTTCTTAAATGTAGGATTTTTGTTCTTCAAAAAATTGATGTAAAGTGTATAAAACAGCATTTGGTCTGATGCAGAGGGCCCAGCCTTCCCGTGTCAGGGTTCTTTCTGTGGCTCCATGTGCATGCCTCTGTCCAGGTGCGTTGCTGGCTGAGGAACAAGTCACACAACATTTGTGTCTCTCGTTTGGGGAGTGTACAGACACTGTTAAGAATTTTTTAAGAATACCATAGCAGTGAGCAGAACAGTTCCTAGTTAACAGAAACCTCTTCCTGGCACTCAAAAGTGTATGGTAGCGATGCTGAAATAGTGAGCATCTTTCTGTTCTCAGACGTTCAACATCACAAGGGAAAAAGCATTCACACTTGACTCAGAAGTAATTGGTTGGTATTATTTCCCTAGTTCTCAACTTGAAGTTCATCACTGAAACCTTTTAAAGCCTAATCAGAATTGTGCCAGATTAGACTCAAGTCAATCTGTACTATAAAAGGTTTTATTTAAAAAAAAAATCAGCCTATTTTTGCCTGCTTAAGTATTCAAAATATACTAGATAAGGATACCTATGTATCTTTTTGTCAGATGAAGCCAGGGTTTGGGATCCTTTCATCAGTGAAATTAGTAAATATTACAAGTTGTACGTGTTTTGACTTTGACTTAAATTTTTTTTTCCAATAGAAACTATGTTCCAACTTCCTGTCAACAATCTTGGCAGTTTAAGAAAAGCCCGGAAAACTGTGAAAAAAATACTTAGTGACATTGGGTTGGAATACTGTAAAGAACATATAGAAGTAAGTAGCATGCTGTTTTTCAATTTTAACATGACCTAGGTTCTGATCCATTACTTGGTGTCAGTGGTCAGAATGATTAACCGGCAGGTGTGACTGAGTATTAACCACAGCAGCAGCTTGGCTGCACCTCTCTTCACTAGCGTAACGTACTCCCTTCTCCCTAAACGGGCACGCTCATCTTTGCACTCTGGAGCGGAACAGCCATCGTGGAAGACTTAAGCATGTCAGACACTGTACTGGAAATTTTAAATTGTCTGGAAATGTAGTCGTTAGAACAAACTTTGGGGGTGTTGTAGTTCTTGTCTGTGATTTACGAATAAAGAAAGCTGAGGAAGGGGAGGTGGAACTTGGAGCCCGTTCTCATTCTCATAGGCCTGAACGTTCTGTTGTCCTTCTAATTACCGAGGCACGGTGGTTTGGGTGCTTGTCATCTCTTTCTTCAGGATTTGAGCATTTGTTGTCCGTTTTGACCCATCAAGACCGTTATCTTCCCCTTGCATAACAGTTTGGCCTTTACAAACTGTTTCTGTAGCCTTTTTATTCTATGAACTTTATAACACCCCATTGGGACAGCTAGTGCGATGGTCTCCTCCTTCTCCAGATCTCCTTGCTCCAGATCTTATGGATAGTTGGTCAAAGCCTCAGGTTGAAAGGAATATTTAAAACTTCTCCCTGCTAACCTTTAATTTCCAGCTGCCAGGGGCCATGGCTGTCTTGTTCACCCATTTATCCCCCAGCACGTAGCACAGTGCTTGGTACTCAGAACATGTTTGGTAGAATTGGAAGGTAAAGGCAGTTCACTCATGGAACAGGCTTTCTTTCCCTGAGTACCACTTGTAATACTCTGGGGTAGGACTTGAGGGCGAAGCTTCTCAAAAGTGGTTTTGTCTAGCTGTGTTGTCCCCAGTGTAGAAGTCTCCCTTCTCCAATCCCTTGAGGTTAAATAGGCCTACCCAGATGAGGCAGTTCATTCACTCTGCACTTTGGGGTTATCTTCACAGAAATAAATAATGCAAATATTTAGGTGCCTTTTCTGTCCTTTGTGTGCTTTGTTTTCCCCTTTATGTACTCTGGAATTTGCATGTACTTGATTTTCTTCCTGAAAGGAAGTTTTACCCTAAGATGTACTATTTTCGTAGTCTGGGGGGACAGGAAGCATTAAAATTTTACATAAGAGTATAAATTTTTCCACCACATTGCTTGCGTTGAGTAGCTTTCTCTCCTGTATGGATTTTAAAATCCTGAGTTTTGTTTCTGACCCAGCCTCTCCCTCTTTCCCCAAACTACTTTGTTTTGTGCACAGAACTAGAATATCACACCTGCAAGGCTATTAATAAACATTGTTTCCTTAGATTCCATCCCAGTGCTGTGTAACTAAGGGATTGGTATTCTGGTATATTAGTATGTGGCTGGAGTTTTTAATAATTAGTACATCCAGTGGTTTCACTGGAAACCTAGCTGGCTGTTAGGGGAATGCATGGTAGATATAAAATGTTTAATGCCACATATGACTTTCTGTATTTCCTAAGAGCTTTTGTCATTCCTAGTTTAGTTTTGGGTTTGATTTTACTGTGGTTCTCCCTGGCACTAGTTAACAAGTGGGATTTTAATATATGGTTAGTCTGGAGTTTATGGCACTGATTTTATAAACTTTTTTCACTGTTTTCTAGGATTTTAAGCAGTTTGAACCTAATGACTTTTATTTGAAAAACACTACATGGGAGGATGTAGGACTGTGGGACCCCTCACTTACAAAAAACCAGGTAAGTAGCACAGATGAGGCCCCCAAATGGCAGCATCCCTGGGGTGACTCGCTCTAAGCTCTGGCCCTTTCATCATTGTTTGTGGGCACCAACCTACTGTGGAAGATATCAAAATTACATATTCATGCTTTTCTAGTAGTAAGGAAAACTAAACAGACTTTGTTTTTGTTTGTTGGTTGGATGGTTTTGTCTTGGAGCTCAGACTTGTAAGAACAAAAGGAAATTTCATTTCTTCCTAAGGCCTGCAGTACACCGGTCTTTCTTTAGTAAGTGCTTTGGCTCTGCAAAATGTTCTCTCCACCATTGCGCTTATCCATTTACCCATCATTTTTGTGTGTCTCCATTGCTACCCTTGGATTTCTAGATGGAGAAGGGCCACATGCTTCCATCTAAGGTTTTCTTTGTTATACAGCACTGACAGCCTCCGGCCTGTCTGGAAGAGTGACAGTGACATATGCAGCGTAGGTTTCTCACATTGGCCTTAAAAACAGTTTAGTTACTAGTGCCAGCAGATCTTAGTAGAAGAAGATACAATGAAAACAGGTTGGATGGTTTCTTTTTCCTTGGGAAAAAGTGATTGTGAATTCATGTTTTAATTCTAATTCTGTACTGGAGGTCTTTTCATCTGTTGAAATATACTTAGTAAGCATTTCATACTCTTGGGTTGTATCACATATTTAAGGTGGTTTGTTGTTGTTAATGCTCTAGGAAAAGGTATTAACCAACAGCCTTGGGGTATTTACTTTCAGATAGATGTATTATAAGTCAGTTTCATGAGTCAGAAAGCATCAGAACCTAATACTAAGGAAGGTTCATACTTTAAGGAAAAGCAGCAAATTTTCATTCAAACTATTATCTGAAGCAAAACAGGTTTCTAGGGGGAAAAATAGCCTTTTAGTGAGAACAACTGTGAAAATATTAATGGTCCTAATTCCAAAAGTTGCCTCTTGATATCAGTATACAAAGTGTGGTTAAAAAAAAAGTATGCCGAATGTTTGAATTAAAATTTATTCTAAAAGACACATTGTAAACAGCGTGGTGGCACACTCCTGTAATCCCAGCACTTGGGAAGCTGAGGCAGGAGAATTATTCTCAGGTTTGAGACCAGCCTGGGCTACAAAGTGAGCCCAAGGCCAGCCTGAACTGCATAGGGAGACCCTGTCTCAAAAAAAACATACATATATATATATATAAATGATATACACTGTATTTAATCCCTCTCAAACAATCCCCTGACTTTGATTATACTTACCCACTATTCTTGCCACTTTCTGAAGCAGTTTTGAAAGTTTTCTTTGGTAAGTATCTTTAGTTACACTGTCTTAGTTGCCTTGACGTCCTGTTCTGAAACATTTGATTCAAAATGTTAACTTTTCATGGTCATTTTGACTGTGAGAGACCCAGAAGTTGCCCAGCGTTAGTTGTGGTGAACAAGGTGACTGATGATCACAGGGTTTTACAGCCAGAGTGTACATTGGTTGGCACTTGGCAGCAGCATCCCTTGTATTTTCAGTTACACCTGGTAAAGATGCTCAGAAAGACTTCCGAACTACCTCAGAACAAGCAAGATCGATGAGATGTGTATTTGGGGCTGGGGATTTAGCTCAGCGGCATAAGCGCCTGCCTTGCAAAAAACAAAAAAAAAGAGGGGCATTTTTTTAGGGGAAATAATGGCAATGTATCTTTCATTTAATACATTTTTAAAATTTGGGCATTCATATATTTTGCATTCACCTCTTGTATTCTGCAGTGTATTCTAGTTTTTAAAAAAAAAACATGCAACTCACAGTCTGTAGGACATTATTTAACTTAACTAATTTGAATAAAAGCAGCTGTCACTTCATTAGGCTTTTTGAAGATACTGCTTACTTGCAAAGGAATAGCCAGGTGTATGCAAGAAAGATGATGGCAACATTAGAATTAACAGTGGAATCTAAATATACTTAGAATTAGAGAAAAAAATGTTTGCACTTAGTCCTTTTATTTGAAAAAATTTTGATGTTGGAAAGGCTAAAGGATAAATCAAGAGTTGAGTAGTTGTGAAAACACTCTGGACCCTTAAATCTGATACGGTTAGCAACTTCCTGATTCACTAACGATGATTTCATATAGTTTAGTCTTGTTACTGCTAATTGTAAAATGTTTTTTCTTAAGCCATTTGTCTTTGGTTGATCTGAAACCAGTCAACAAATGATACTAGTCTTCTCTAAACATTGGGAAAAAATTTGGCGCTTAATTCTGTGTTGGTTTTTTGGAGGGGTTGGTTTTGTTTTGTATTTTGAGACAGGATCTTACTCTGTACTTCAGGCTGGTTTTGAACTGACTGTGTAGCCGGGTCTGGGCTTCAGTCCCTCTGCCTCAGCCTCCGGAGTGCTGGCATTATAGACATGTACCACCACACCCAGCCATTTAGTTTTTAATTTACACTGGTAGACATAAATAAAACTTTATACCAAAAGTATACCAATGGTATAAAGTGGCTTTTTATGTGAGTTTCTTTTTCATAAACTTATTCTACAAGAGGAAGAAATATACAGAAATCAGTACATGACAGTTTGTTGTAAAAATAGCATTCTGAGAAGGGAGAGGGCACATTTAAAACCTGAAACCTGTTGTTGCCTGCCTAAAGTGACAGTCTGATTCTAGTTTCTGTTTTCTTCAGGACTATCGGACAAAACCTTTTTGCTGCAGCGCTTGTCCATTTTCCTCAAAATTCTTCTCTGCCTACAAAAGTCATTTCCGGAATGTCCATAGTGAAGACTTTGAAAATAGGATTCTCCTTAATTGCCCTTATTGTACCTTCAATGCAGACAAAAAGACTTTGGAAACACACATTAAAATATTTCATGCTCCAAACGCCAGCGCACCAAGTAGCAGCCTCAGCACTTTCAAAGATAAAAACAAAAACGATGGCCTTAAACCTAAGCAGGCTGACAGTGTAGAGCAAGCTGTTTATTACTGTAAGAAGTGCACTTACCGAGATCCTCTTTATGAAATAGTTAGGAAGCACATTTACAGGGAACATTTTCAACACGTGGCAGCACCTTACATAGCAAAGGCAGGAGAAAAATCACTCAACGGTGCAGTCCCTTTAGGCTCAAATGCCCGGGAAGAGTGTAGTATTCACTGCAAGCGATGCCTTTTCATGCCAAAGTCCTATGAAGCTTTGGTACAGCATGTCATCGAGGACCACGAACGCATAGGCTATCAGGTCACTGCCATGATTGGGCACACCAATGTGGTGGTTCCCCGATCCAAACCCTTGATGCTAATTGCTCCCAAACCTCAAGACAAAAAGGGCATGGGACTCCCACCACGAATTGGTTCCCTTGCCTCTGGAAACGTCCGGTCTTTACCATCACAGCAGATGGTGAACCGACTGTCAATACCAAAGCCTAACTTAAATTCCACAGGAGTCAACATGATGTCCAATGTTCACCTGCAGCAGAACAACTACGGAGTCAAATCCGTAGGCCAGGGCTACGGCGTTGGTCAGTCAGTGAGACTGGGACTCGGTGGCAATGCACCTGTTTCCATCCCGCAGCAGTCTCAGTCTGTGAAGCAGTTACTTCCCAGTGGAAATGGAAGATCATACGGGCTTGGGGCAGAGCAGCGGTCTCAGGCACCAGCAAGATACTCCCTACAGGCTGCGAATGCCTCTTCTCTCTCAGCCGGCCAGTTAAAGTCTCCTTCCCTCTCCCAGTCTCAGGCCTCCAGGGTATTAGGTCAGCCCAGTTCCAAACCTACCACAGCTGCCACCGGCCCTCCGCCAGGTAATACTTCCGCAACTCAAAAGTGGAAAATATGTACAATCTGTAATGAGCTCTTTCCTGAAAATGTCTATAGTGTGCACTTCGAAAAAGAACACAAAGCTGAGAAAGTCCCAGCAGTAGCCAACTATATTATGAAAATACACAATTTTACTAGCAAATGCCTCTACTGTAACCGCTATTTGCCCACAGATACCTTGCTCAACCACATGTTAATTCATGGTCTGTCTTGCCCATATTGCCGTTCTACTTTCAATGATGTGGAAAAGATGGCCGCTCATATGAGAATGGTTCACATAGATGAAGAGATGGGACCTAAGACGGATTCTACTTTGAGTTTTGATTTGACATTGCAGCAGGGCAGTCACACTAACATCCATCTCCTGGTAACCACATACAACCTGAGGGATGCCCCCGCTGAGTCTGTTGCTTATCATGCCCAAAATAACCCTCCACTTCCTCCAAAGCCACAGCCAAAAGTTCAGGAAAAGGCAGATATTCCTGTTAAAAGTTCACCTCAAGCTGCAGTGCCCTATAAAAAAGATGTTGGGAAAACACTTTGCCCTCTTTGCTTTTCAATCCTAAAAGGACCCATATCTGATGCACTTGCACATCATTTACGAGAAAGACACCAGGTTATTCAGACAGTTCATCCAGTTGAGAAAAAGCTCACCTACAAATGTATCCATTGCCTTGGCGTGTATACCAGCAACATGACCGCCTCGACTATCACTCTGCATCTAGTTCACTGCAGGGGTGTTGGAAAGACCCAGAATGGCCAGGATAAAACAAACGCACCTTCTCGGCTGAATCAGTCTCCAGGCGTGGCACCTGTGAAGCGCACCTATGAGCAGATGGAATTCCCCTTACTAAAGAAGCGAAAGTTAGATGACGATAGTGACTCGCCCAGCTTCTTTGAAGAGAAACCTGAAGAGCCTGTTGTTTTAGCTTTAGACCCCAAGGGTCATGAAGATGATTCCTATGAAGCTAGGAAAAGCTTCCTAACGAAGTATTTCAATAAACAGCCCTACCCCACCAGGAGAGAAATTGAGAAGTTAGCAGCTAGTTTATGGTTGTGGAAGAGTGATATTGCTTCCCATTTTAGCAACAAAAGGAAGAAGTGTGTTCGTGATTGTGAAAAGTATAAGCCTGGTGTGTTGCTGGGCTTTAACATGAAAGAGTTAAATAAAGTCAAACATGAGATGGATTTTGATGCTGAGTGGCTGTTTGAAAACCATGATGAGAAGGATTCCAGAGTCCATGCCAGTAAGACTGTTGACAAGAAACTTAACCTTGGGAAGGAAGAGGACAGTTCATCAGATAGTTTTGAAAATTTGGAAGAAGAATCCAATGGAAGTGGTAGTCCTTTTGACCCTGTTTATGAAGTTGAGTCTAAAGTCCCTAATGATAACCCAGAGGAACATGTACCGAAGGTAATTCCTGCAGATGCTCTAGAATCTGAAGAGAAGCTAGACCAAAAAGAGGAGGATGGTTCAAAATATGAAGCTGTTCATTTGACTGAGGAACCAGCCAAGCTAATGCATGACGCTTCGGATAGTGAGGTAGATCAGGATGATGTTGTTGAATGGAAAGAGGGTGCTTCGCCATCTGAGAGCGGGCCTGGTTCCCAGCAGGTGTCAGACTTTGAGGATAACACATGTGAAGTGAAACCAGGAACCTGGTCTGATGAGTCTTCCCAGAGTGAAGATACAAGGAGCAGTAAGCCAGCTGCCAAAAAAAAGGCTACCATGCAGGGTGACAGAGAGCAGTTAAAATGGAAGAATAGTTCCTATGGAAAAGTTGAAGGATTTTGGTCCAAGGACCAGTCACAGTGGAAGAATGCATCTGAGAATAATGAGCGCTTATCTAACCCCCAGATTGAGTGGCAGAATAGCACAATTGACAGTGAGGATGGGGAGCAGTTTGACAACATGACGGATGGAGTGGCTGAACCAATGCATGGCAGCTTAACAGGAGTTAAACTAAGCAGCCAGCAGGCATAAGAGCCTGGCCTCACTGCACTGGTGACAGGCTCCAGCTGGGGACTCGCTTTTTCCTCCAGTCTGACTGCAAAGCTCTCTTAGCTGGTACTGCCTTGTGATGACTGGTCAGCGGGCTGTGGGGACAAGTTGCAGTCCCAGCGGTTATTATTTCTGAGTCTATGACACATGATTGACTGATCCTTAGTTTCAGAGCCTTTTCTGATAGACATGGTCACTATGAAAACCAGTATGCTGGTAGCTCACGAGCGCACATGGGGGAAAAGCAGAGGTTTATTTTATCTGCCTTTTCAACATTTCTTTCCCTCTATAAATTGTTTGGCCTGATGTCCTTGGGCAGCGTTATGCTGATGACATGGTAGTATACGGCCAAAGTACGAGCTACCAGTCTAATATGTATAGTAGACTTTGGGAAAATCGATTTTTTTTCATGTATTCATTCTGAATAGTTGAAATGTATATTTGTACAGTCTTTTAGATCTATTCCAGTGATGCTTATGGTATTGTTACTGTGTGCCCATCATAGACGTTTCTTTTTTAGTGTTGCCCTTGCTGTGTAATAAATGCTGTATCTAGTTTCCCTAGCAAAAGCTTGAACCTGCGCTAGTATGGACCTTTGGACAGACTTAGTTTTTGCACATAACCTTGTACAATCTTGCAACAGAGGCCAGTCACGTAAGATATATATCTGGACTCTCTTGTATTATAGAATTTTTCTTGTTCTGAATATCCTTGACATTACAACTGTCAAAAACTGGTATTTCAGATGTTTCTGAAATCTTTTAAGCTAAAATCACATGCAAGAATTGACTTTGCAGCTACTAATTTTGACACCTTTTAGATCTGTATAAAAGTGTGTTGTGTTAAAGCAGCAAACCAAATGAGTGCTGCATTTTGGATATTTAGTTTTCTCTTTAGTTAAACACCACCCTGGTGTATTCATTTATACCACCTAATATATGACACACTGTGTAGTATGTATAATTTTGTGATCTTTATTTCTCTTTGTATTCATTTTAAGCATCTAAATAAATTGCTGTATTGTGCTTAATGTAAATATTTGCTTTATTACATATGACAGTCCTGAGTGTCTATCATACCTTACACCGTTTGATGTCATGGTACACTCATCAGAGACAGAAGCCACAGTCGCCAAGGAAATGTAACATGGAAGATCTTATATTTGCATAAAGAATGCTTTCTCTTAAGGCACCTGTTACAAATTATTTTGTGTTTTCTCCCTTTTAACTGCAAGAGTAAACATCCTTAGGTTCTTCAGTTCCCCTTCCGCTAAGGAACAGAGCCTGCATAAATGTAAATATCTCATGATAAAAGGATGTAAACAGAAATTGGCATTAATTTGCAAGTAGAATCTTAATGCCCTGATACTGTGTTAATTTGGAAGTTAACATAGGAATGATTGTACTAAACAGGCAACTGCTCTTTGTTAAAATTCCTTTGACCCATGTTGCTATTGAGAAAAGGGCTGTGGAGAGCACACAGGTGAGGGCATCGGGATGGAAAGAGCTGCTAGCTTTGCTGTGTTCAGATTCCCAAGAGCAGCTGGTGCTAAACGCAGAAAGTTACAAGGAGGCAGAAACAGGCCACCATTTTCAGCAGTTTCAGTCACCTTGCAGGAACTTGAGCTTAAGAAACCTGAAGTGGCTGACTTGATGTAATTTTTAACTTCCAAGAAAAAGAATTGTTACTTGAGCTCTTCTCAAAAGAAAAAGGAAACATAAACTAGAATTTTTACTTAAAAATTTTTTACTTAAAAAAGTACCTGGGCCTCACATGGAGCTTTGAGATGTTTTACCAGGTACATTACAAATTCTGTGTGTACCAGCTAATATAGCAGGATGTCCCTGAGTTCAGATGCACAAACTGCCAAGTAACAAATAACCAGCTGAATTTTGCCATCTCATGCGTGTGGAAATTAACTCTGCTTCATTAACAGGTGAGAAGAACTTAGCCTGAGGCTGAGAGTCTTGTCCAGAGGACTAAAGAGGCTTTGTGCAAATAGGGTTGGAGCAGGGTAGGCACACAGGGTCCTGGTGGGACATCTGAATGGAGACAGACAAGGATTCTTCTTTGGAGGAATAGGGAGTGGGTCTCTGGCCCTGAGGGGTTTTTAGCACTTGAAATAAAATATTCCCAACTGAAAATGTTGCAGAAGCCCTAAAAGTATCTCAATAAAAGCCATTTTAAAAGAACACTGTTGCTGCTGTGTACTTTTAGAAAAATTTGGAGGTCACTTAACTAAGAAACCTGTCACTTTACAGTTTGAGACTGCCTCTAACTGTAGGCCAGACAGTTCTGTAGGCGTCTAGTAGGGAGACAACCTAATTACTCCTTCCAAAGAGCTTTCTCCTTTTGCCCTTCAGATTTTCTTGTGGCAGTGAGTTTCAGAGTCAGACTGGCTATGACTGCTTTCTCTCACTTGTCGGCACATAGAAGCATTTTCTCATCCCATCTTTGCTTCCTTGTCATTGAGCAGAACAGGGCAATGTCTAGCCAATGTTTTTGTCCCCACATAGGAAAGGACGTGCCCTTATTGCCTATGGTCGTGTGTCCATTTCATACAGGTGTCTGTAAAGAGCATTTCTGAAGGAAGACAGAAGAGCACCAGGTCCTGCCAACGTCTGTTAAAAGATGGGAGTTTCCTGTCTGAAATGCTTCAGTAGAAGTGATTAATCCTGTTTTCTTGCCAAGGGAGCAGTGCTGTAAAGGAGTGTGTCCTTTACCTCAGCCACAGCCTGTAACTCTGTCCCCTCATGATGGAGCCCAAAACTCACCACCGAGTTACTCTATGCCCATAACGTTTGTGGAGTACTTAGCCTGCCTGGTGGAAAATCTCTGCTTAATGAAACTAAGTGGAACACGCTATACAGGCAATGGATTTTTCCACCTATTATGACCATCATTTTTAACCCATAAAGTCCAAACGTGCACCCGTCACTCGTGGTGTCTCTACTACTTCCTGTCTACCCACGCCACTTAAAACGAACATTGAACTGTGACTTGAATGTATGCAGAGTTACAACTTGGGGTTATGTCCAAAATAACAGATGCCAGGGATTTGGCTCAGTGACACAAGCACCTGCCTGGTAAGTTCAAGGTGGTGAGTTCAATCTGCAGTGTCCAGAAAAGACCCAGTACCCCAAAACAAGTTTAGCTGGGCATGGCGGCACATGCCTGTAATCCCAGCACGTGGTAGGCAACAGGAACATTACTGAGTTCCATGCCAGCCTTTACTACACAGTGAATTCAAGGCTAGTCTGAACTACGCAGCGAGATCCTGTCTCAACAAAAAAATCAGCACTTGGGAGACAAAAGTTCCAATATAGTAACTGAAGCCCTCAAATCATCCTTTCAGTCGGTCAGCTAAGGACAAGGAAATTCATAGTTACTTCTGTGACAAATCTGTATGAATAAAGAATCTTCTCTGCTACGAATTTAAGTGATTTTCCTTGCATGTGTGTCTCTGAATGCGATCTTTACGGGGCTGAGGCAAACACCCCCCCCCCCACAGCGCACCATCTGGCCTCAAGGCGCAAGATCATTTAGACCTAAACTGGCCTTTGCAATAAAAATCTTACTGTGTCTCTATTAATGTCTTATCAATAAAGATTGACATCCTAATAGATTGGATATGTTTAGGAAACGAGTAAAGCAACTTAAAGGACTTTCTAATGTACTGGCTGCCATCTAGACTACTAGAGCAGACGATGACAGCCTTGTGCCTACAGCGGCCTTCTGGGAGTCTAAGAACCACAGGGAGATCCTGCTTGGGAGCCTGGGGAGGACACACAGCCACCTTGCCTCAGCCTCCCTAGGAGCTTGGGCTTAGAGACGCTCCGCCTGTCCCCAGGAGGGCCCTCCAGGCAAGGGGCACCCACAGTGGGGGTGTGGAAACTCAGGGCTTGTGTGAATCCTTAACCACTCAGATGTTTTCTGAACATTACTGAGGCGTCATCCTGTGACTTGTAGGGCACTGGATCTAAGACACCCATATCTTTAAAGCAGACCCACATGGTCGTCCACAGCAACTCACAAAAGGAGAAACCTGGAGAAGGACCATCAGCTCCAGGTTCAGGGTGCTGACCTCACCCGAAGTTCAGAGATGCTAGCTTGTCCCCAGACTTAACTAAGCAGGTGGTGGTGCGCGCACAGGTCGGGTATCTGCACAGCCCCTGTGCCCCAGCCATACAGCCTTGGTATCGCATAGACAGCCTCCTAGCAAGCTCCCTTCCAAGGACCACAGAGCTGCATGAGCCGCAGCTGAGCCAGCTGTACGTCACCTGGCAGTATTTCCCAGTCAGTACTCGTGCACCCTGCCTTTGTCATTTCTGCCACATCTGCCTAGCAACCGCATGAGTATGTTTAACTCTCCTTCTCAAATGAAGGAAAACTTATGTCACCAAAAAGAAAACTCGCACAGTTTAACATTAATGAAGGGGCTGGGGATTTAGCTTAGTGGCACAAGTGCCTACCTGGTAATTGCTAGGTCATGAATCCAATCCCTGGTACAAAAAAAAAAAAAACTTAAGATAGCCATAATATAAAAACCAATCCTACTTTGTACATATAAAACATATTCAACATTTGTCACCCATTACTGTGTGCTAAAAGGGCTAAGCTTGAGACTGACTCTGCTTGTTAAAAAAAAAAACAGAGTGGGACCTAGGGCAGATAAGACTTTCCCCTTGGCCCAGGAGGCTGAAAGACCCAAAGGCACCTTATCCCTACGGGGTTCCTGTTAAGCTCCCACTTGCTCAGGCACTGACTCAGAAGCCCAGAGATGGGCCCCACACCCAGCTGGGCCACCGGCTGCCAGTACTTTCTAGGAAGTCTACTTCCGTTAACCATGATCAGTGCCTGGCTTTGCAAGCTGTAGACTTCTTTTATAGATAATCAGGACCCTCACTGCAGGTCCAGGAAATCCAGACTCAGTCTGGGTTTAATGAAGAGGACAAGACGCCTGCCTGCTTGGTGACAGTGTTGGCAAGAGCTGTGATTCTCTTGCCATCCGTAAGGTCACTTTCACCCTAGGCAGGTGCCCTGCTGTTTGTGAAGGTTGGGGGCTCCTTCAGTACTTGAGCAGGGGCTGAGGTAACTGGATGCTCTAGTTCAGAGCTGGGGGCCTCAGGCCAGAGCCACCCAGCCACGCAGAGCGAGCAGGATTTCTTGCCTGACTAGAATAGGACCCTTCTCTAGAGTGGAAGTGGGACCAATTCAACCCAAACCAGAAACCGACTCAAACCCAATTACAGGTTAAACTCAGGAAAGAAAAGCAGGAACAAGGACCTTGCTCTTCAAATAGGACCCTGTGACTGAGACGAACTGGAATAGAAAATGCACTGCCTCCAACTAAGGCAGCAAATGCTCCTCCAGCAGTCTTCTGCCTATTACTCTCAAAGCAGGACTCGGCCCCCGTTGCGTATGGAGGTCACCTGGGGAGCTTCAGCGTGGAAGGTGTACCCTCCACAGCCCAGATGAACTTCTCTGGACCTGGCCTAGCTGATTCCAACACAGCTGAGAACAGCAAACACCACTTTACAGAGATGCAAAGGGCAACGCATTGGCGACCTGCGGCTTGGCCTGTGAGCCCATTTCTACTACTTTCCTCCATTCAACAGAACTGCTGGTGTTCTGCAAAGCAGCCACGATGGCCACGCTCAGAGATGTCTAAAAAACATTGTTGTGTATAAACTCCCACTCTAAGTTCTCCTTGATTCATGGGGTCTAACCTGAGAACCCTTGCCCCCATACAGTCACCGCCCCTGGAGCGGTGAGGAGAAAAGCTCAGACAAACCTTGTTCTGGGTGTTCCTCTAGCCTCCTGGTTCCTCTGAACCCCTGGCTCCCAGAAAATGAGATCACCTGTTATATCCACAGCGGAGCTTCCCCCCAGATACCCCAGTGAGAACAGCTTCCTGGTGGAAGAGGTGGCCTCTGGCACAGACTTCACTGGCTTGGTTTTCAGGTAGCGTGTTCTGGTCCTGACCAAACACTGTACGTGCCCCTTGGACCTCCCTCCAGCTCCTCCACATAGAGCCACTGGGTGTGGCCTGCAAGAAGTCCAAGAGAGCCTCAACCTGCAAATCCAGGACTCTGCATCCACTCCAGTATTTGCAGGCCTAAGATGCATCCACCAGTCATCACTGGTCTGAATCTCAGCACCTTTGAATGCACAGCAAGTCCACAGACCCTAGGGAAATTCTGTGACAGCTGCTGCAGTCAGAACTGCTTGTGGTTGATCAGGGCAACTGGGGACTTTGCTTTAAGATGGGGAGGGAGATTCCTGTGCACCAGCAGCTGCCTGGGACAACAAAACATGTCCAGAGGGCTAGGAACTCCTGCAAGCATAATAAGGGTACCTGCCTGGCCTGTAACCCTCTGCCCTGAAGCACCCCTTCTCACCTCAAGAAGTTTTATTGAATAGCAGCCAGATTTTGTCAACATCTCTGCAGCCACTGAGATGATGTGCTTTTTGTCCTTTTAAAATATGGTGTTACACCAATTTTTCAGATGTTAACACCAACCTTGCATTCCTGGGAGAAATCTGATTGGTTGTAGTATATAATCCCTTTTCTATGTTGTTGGATTTGCTTGGCTGTTACTTTGTTGGCTTTGTATTCATATTCATAAAGGATTCTGTCAATTTTCCTGTGTCTGCTTGATTACCAGTCACCCCCCAGAAAAGCCTTGACCACACATACTCCTATAGTGGGCCCTACCCCTTCTGGAGAATTCGAATTTGTTCCATCTAGCCATCACATAGCTGCCATCCTCCACCGTGGACTCTACCCAGATGTTTTTCACCACCCAATTCCTTGGAATAAATTCTCTATGATCTGAGGGTCACTAGATCTAAGGGCCAGGCAGGTGGAAGGCATTAGCAGGGTAACCTGAGTATAAGCGGGTCTGGAGAGCCCTCTGAGGGCCTCAGTGCCAGCTCATTGCTGCTATGTGAGCCTCCGGCTCCAGATCCCAGGCTTCCAGAAAACACAGGAAGCCTTCTTTATACAGACTCCCCACTGTTGCTGACAACTGATTTTTGCCTTTGCTGTACTAAGATTGAACCCAAGAGCACACTGTCACTGAGCTACATCCCACCCTGTTTTAGTTTTGAGACAGTATTGCCCAGCCTGGCTCAGAATTGCAGTACTCTGTGCCTCAGCCTCCTGGAGTGGCTGAGATTACAGGTACAACATCATGCCTGTCCTGGCCACTGATTCTACCTTTGATTTCTTGAGACAGGGTCTCGCTCACTAGTTCATGGTGGTCTAGAACTCACTATGCTGCTTAGGCTGGCCCCAAACTTGAAGCCCACCTTCCTCCGCCTTCCAAGTGCTGGCTGCTGGCAACTGATTTTACACCACTTTCTCTGAATAGTTTTTTTTTTTTAAACGGCTAGAATTAGTATTTTATTGTCATTTATAATCAAATGTCAGTTGGGTATACATAATTTCTTTTTTTTTTTTTTGTCTTTTTTCTTTTTATCGGTACCAGGGATCAAACTCACAACTGCCTGCTTGCAAGGCAGGCGATTATGCTGCTGAGCTAAATCCCCAGCCCCCGGGTATACATAATTTCCATAAATTCTGTAAATAAAAAAAAGTTTTAAACAGCTGATAGCTAGTTACATTCTTCAGAAAACACAAATATCAAAATATCAAAACTTAAAAAGGAGGAGACAGAGATTTAGCTCAGCAGCATTAGCACCTGCCTGGCAAGCATGAGGTTGCAAGTTCAATTCCTGGTACCAAAAAAAAAAAGCAGAAAGGCCATTTCTCACCCCAAACACATACACTGTCCTGCAGTTTTTATTGACCCTGTGGATGTTCGCATTCACAAAGACAGCAGCGCACTATGTGCATTTTGCTGCCTTTGCCCCTCGTATGCTGATAACCCCAACTCATAAGCAATTCCCTGTCCATCTTTACCGCTTCATAGTATTCCATCTCAGGATGTGCTGTCATGGTGGATCTGGGACCCTACTGGGGAACACTCAGGCTCCATCACAGCTTGCTATTTCAACGAACAGTGCCTAATCCTGTGCACTTGCTGCTGCTTCTCCTGTGTAACTGGGTCCTAGAGGCTGAGACTGCTGGGTCTAAAGACACAGACAGAGTTCTCATTTCCACAGATTCTGCCCATCAGCCACGAGAAGCCAGGCTGTCCAAAATTCCCCAACAATGTAACCAAAGAGTTTAATCTTTGCAGCCTGACAGGTGAAAAAACTAATTTCCAGAAATTCTTTTTCTGGCAGAGCTGGGGGGAGGGTGGTGCAGGGGCAAACCCAGGGCCTGACACTCACTGGGCGCATGCCCTTTCACTCAGTCTAGTCCCAGGCCCAGGCAGGTAATGTGGTTTCTCTCAGACTTCTCTACTGAGCGGCTTCCCACAGGTGCTATTTACAGGGCAGGGAGACTGTCACCTTGTAACACAAGCTTTAAATACATCTTTCCAGTTTATCATTTGCCTTGAATTTGCTTAGGACTCTATTTTACGATTTGAGGGTTAAGCGTTCTGTTTTGCTATGCAAAGATTTCAGTTATACATATAAATAAATTTTATAGATATAATCAAATTTATCACCTTTGTGGCTTCTGGGTTTTACATTGCTCTCTGATTTTTCCTACTTTTTCAATAACTGCACTTAGGGGCTGGGGATTTAGCTCAGCAGCATAAGCACCTACCTGCTTTGCAAGTGCATAGTCGTGAGTTTGATCTCTGGTACTGATAATAAAAAAAAAAAAATGAGGGGCTGGGGATTTAGCTCAGCAGCATAAGTGCCTACCTTGCAAGCAGGCGGTCGTGAGTTCGATCCCCGGTACCGATAAAAAGAAAAAAGAAAAAAAAAAGTGTAAAAAAAAAAACTGCACTCATACATTTAACTCCTTAATCCATTTGGAATTCTGGATCCATGTCAGGTGTGCAGAGTGAGGTGTGGAGCTCAGCCATCCTATGGCACATGTGCCACAGTGGGCAAGCAGAGCTTTTTCTGTTGGCACGTGAGCCACATCACCCCAACAGCTTCTACATGGCTGGTCAGTGCCCTGCCAAGTGTACAGATGCAGATACAGATGTACAGATCCAGACGCAGATACATGTGCTTGGACTGGCTGTTTTAATAGGTTTGTTTTTATTAACATGATTTTAGCATTCTGTTTTCTTATGAAAAAACTGAAATTTAACACCAAAGCTTTAGCATAGAGATGTTCTAATTGAGAGACTGAGGTTCTTTTCATGTGCTGCCCTCTGCATATATGAATCTGTAGCATATCTGATTATTTGTGAAGAATTTATGGAAGTGAGCAAGGATAGATTATATATATTTGTTTGGACTGGCTGTGATTTTAGCAGAAGCCCTCACCAGGCAAGAAATGCACTCAGTTGCCTTTTGTAGAGCACCCAAAGGCTGGTGGTCAGTGGAACCTTGCCCCCTTGCACTGGTGGTCGAAAAATTCAACAAGAACCTAGCTGACAGTCACTGCTGTAGACTGTTGACTTAGGGAATATCCAATTATTTAATGTTAATTCATGGTGTCAGATATTTTTGATACTGGGATTTGTATTAGATGCTCCATTTTTTTTTTTTTAAACTTTGTAGACTCAAGTCTGGAGCACCAAAAAATGATCACAGGGAAAAAAAGTGAACCAGAAAAGAGATAGTGGAAGACCATCCCAGGGGCCTGGACAGCCATTTGAGTGGCTGAACGCCATGGGACAGCATTACATGTGCTGTGTAGTGAAAGTGGTGTGTGTCACACACCAGGTGTCAGATGGCACTTTCACACCAACCACAAGATTGTTGCCAAACTCAATGAAACTGAGTTTTTCAGAAGGAAATTGAGGAAATCCATGCCCAGTACCCTAGCTTTTGCCCCTATCTTTCTAAAACAAATCATCTGACAGCTGCCAGCTTTCAAACTGTACTGTGCATAGCAAAGCATGGCATATCCCTCTGACGGGATTTTATCAAAATGGCCATGTTGTCTGGGAGTGATTCTCTTTTTCACATTTTCCCAAACTGGGATACAGTTAGGCAACGAATCTCTGAGATGCCACTTGGCAGAAATCCTGTTAAAGATCAAGTCCTGTGGGGCTGGGGATTTAGCTCAGTGGCATAAGCGCCTGCCTTGCAAGCAGGCAGTCGTGAGTTCGAGCCCTGGTACCGATGAAAAGGAAAATGACAAAAAAAAAAAAAAAAAAAGATCGAGTCCTGCACGTGACAAGTGATGTTAGCAGCCCACTGCTGACTTACAGCAGGCAGCCTGTTACTCCGGTGCTCGTATAAAAGCACTGATACACTCATGCAGGACTCTGTACTTTTATGGTATGCTGCTGCTGACATCATGAGAAGAGCTGATGAAACAGGTGTCTCTGCCTGGAAGAACACAATGGGTAGATATCTACAATGCTGTGATGTTTTTTTTTTTCCACAAGACATAAGACCAGAAAAAATAGTTTCAATTACTAGTGACGGAGGGTACTTTCCATGGTGGGGGCAACACCTGGTTTCATACAGTTCTTTTTTTAAAGCAGCAAAATATCCAGTCATTCAGCTTTATTGTACTATACATCAAGAAGCAATTTGAGAGGATGGGGTGGTGCATCCCTGTAATCCCAGCACTGGGGAGCTGAGGCAGGAGAATCATTGCAAGTTCGAGGCCAACCTGGGCTACAAAGTAAGCTCAGGGCCAGCCTGAACTGCATAGCGAGACCCTGTCTCAAAAAGACAAAAAAAAAAAAAAAAAAAAAAGTAAAGCTCTTTGTTCTAGGGAAAGCAGCCAAAACTAGACAATATCCTCAAAGATGTCGCAAAAATGGAGAATTACATCATGGCTTATGCTCTTAATTTTCAACAGTTTCAAGCACTTCCTGATGAGGTTCAGGCCCAATATAATGCTTTACTTAGTATCTTAATGTCCAGTGACTGAGCAGAGGTTAAGTCCTAGAGAGATCTGTAGCCTGCCCAGAGGAAATCAGGCTGTTTATGAATGAAAAGGGGCAGGAACACCACAGCCCACTGGTATGGCCTGGCTTAACAACCTTCTGTTTACAGATTTTACACCACATTTCAATGTACTGAACAACAACAAAAAAAAATACAAGGTGTGGGGAAAACCGCAGATTGGATGTTTTGTGATATCAAAACATTTGAGAGAAAACTGCAGGTTTTTGAAAGAGACCTTGAAAGTGGGCAGCTGGAATATTTTCCAAATCTAAAAATGCATTTAGAAAATTCTACGTTTCATGACAATCCGATAAACTATCAGGAAATCTGTAAGGAGTTTTCTAGCATTGTAGCAGCTGTGAAGGAAAATTTTAGTAACAGATTTTTACAGTTCTGTAAGATGGAGACAACCCTGTGTTTTCTTCTCCAGATAGAGCCACATTTGAAGAACTTGATCTTCCCTGCTTACACTGGTTAGAGTTTGGAAATCTGGAAATGGAGCTATTGGAATTTCAAAAAGCTCCATCTGGAAAAATAAATCTTGTGACCTGCGGGCAACAGAGAGAAGGAGCGTGCAAAAGGATGACAAAGGGTGGCAGAGTTGGTGGTCCTGAAAATGAAACCCTCGAAGTGTAGGATTCTCTACCAAAAGTCAATGAATGCACTTGGGATTGCTCTTCTTATTTTGTTTGGATTCCCTTATGCATGTGAGCAGCTGTTTTCAGCTCTGAATTACATTAAATCTGGTATAAAAACAGACTAATGGATGACCCGAGTGCAGCATGGGTCGCTTTCAAACAAACCAAGTATAAACCAAGGTTTGACAAATTATCAGTATGCAAACAACAGCAGAGACCACAGTAACTGTCAAAAGAATGCCAAATATGAACTTCTGCCTTCCAATAAAGAGCTGTTTGTATCACTGAAAGCTCTGTTATTGTTGTTTTTAAAACCAAAGATGTTAATGTGGTTGGGCATGGTGGCACACACCTGTAATCCCAGTACTTGGGAGGCTGAGGCAGGAGAATCACTGTGAGTTCAAGGCTAGCCTGCGCTGCATAGTGAGACCTTGTCTCAAAAAGGGAAAAAAAAAAGACATTAATGTGTGAGTTTGTTTCTAAACTAAAAACCTCCATATCCAGATTTAATTGCAGCATTGGCCCTTTGTGATAATTGGGTTTTGGGTCACAGTTTGGACAGTTGGTCTCTAAAAGATCTGTGACCACTGATTTATCTATTCCAGATAGTTGGACATTTGTCTCAATGCAAAAACACTCCAGGGATCAAACTCACGACCTGGGCTTGCCAGACAGGCACTTATACCAGTGAGCTAAATCCCCAGCCCACAAAGCATTTAAAAACTGTTTAGTGTGAACCTCACATTTCTGTGACCAGATACTGTCTCCTGGGTGGCTGTGCAGAAACCTCTGGCGTCCATGGGCATGAAGCCCATGTCCCAGGCAAGTGGCTCTTGTGGAAATTTTCAGAGCCCTTCCCATGCTGCTCTGTCCAGCAACAGCCACAGAAGCAAGCCACCCTTTCCTGGGCTGAGGTCACCCCAAGCCCAGGACAGGCAGCTGCCAGAGTAGGTAGTCAGGGATGCCTCTCACTTGCAGGTGATAAGACAGACCTCTGCCTGAAAGCATGAGGTCAAGTGAGAAACAGTACAGTCCCCTTCCCTGTCAAACGTGGTGACCACAGTGCAGACACCATTACCCAAGTGTCTGGGGTTAGAGCGTGGGCCAAGCACATGGCTCACCTCATGTCACAACAGCCTGTGTCACTCATGGATCTTACTGAGGAAGAGTCTGGATTCAGAGAGGGTAAGCAATGAAGTCAGGGTCTCAGAGCTGAGCTCTGCAGATGAAGCTGCCCCCTGGGCAAGTCACTTTCACCCACAGCCCCGAAGGTCTCTAACACAGGACTCTTTTGTTACTGTGGCTTAGTCATGTGATACTACCTTCCTCCTCTCCCTGGCCCCTGGTTCAGTCTGGGAAGGGGGAAGAAGACTGTAATTCTCCTGTAATCAACAGATACGGGGCCTTCTGAAAACTGGTGTCCTCAACTGCTTGTGTAAAAATGAATTTTTGCTCTGTGCTCTCTGTGAACAGACAGCATGGTGAGTGTGGAGGCTCCCGTCGTTAAAAGCAGCCCCAATCAATACAAAGCAGCCATGAGAATTAACGACACACAGCTACACAGCAACAGGGATGCAACCCACAGCCCGCAGGGGCGACATGCAGCCCTGAGCTGGACACAGAGGGACACATGCAGTGTACCACGCATTCCACACCCTCTGCCCCTGGGACCACAGAGCCAGCCCCGCCTCTCAGATGTCTGGGTTTGGGGGTGGGTACAGACAGAAAGGGGGCTCGAGGGGGGCTTCCGGTGCTGACACTGTGGCTAGGTTCTCCTTGTGAAAAATCTAATGAGGTGCCCCTTTTGCCATACTGGGGATTGAACCTAGAGCCTTCACGCTGGGCTACATCCCAGCTGGGGTTTTTTGGCTGTTTTATAATTTTGAGTGCACAGACCCAGAATTCTAAATGTAGTAGTAAATTAAATGTACAAGTAAACTGTTGGGGCTGGTCCCAAATTTAGAATCTTGCCGTTCTCCTGCTTCAGCTTCCTGAGTATCTTTATTGCTTTTTTGTTTGTTTGGTTTTGTTGCCCTGGAGATTGAATTCAGGGTCTCCCGCATGCTGAGAAAATGCTTTTTAACTGAGCTGTATCTTTAGCCCCATCTGCATCTTTTAATTCCCAAAGTGTTTCCAAAATTGGCACAACCCAACTTACTCCTTGCTTTCCCACCTCTATCTTGACAGATTCATTAATTTACCCTTCCTGGAAATTGTAACCCTCTAGCTGTACGTGTGGAACTGCTTTTTTTTTTTTTTTCGTGGCCCTGCAAGGAGCCCCAGAAATCTACACTCCAGCTCAAAGCTACAGTGAGCACTCTACAGGGTTGAGACAACTGCAGGAAGCTCACAAGCAGATGACAGAAGTGAATGCACGTTGGAGACCACAGTCCTCCAGGCCCTGCTCCCCCACAGCCCTGGGGACGGAAGGCATAGCCTGCCGTGAGCAGGGCACCATGGGGCATAGAGGACCTTTGAGAGACCATACACAGCAAGGAAGAAGTTGTCATCCCCTTGTTCTCATGCCCAGACCACCAGTAAGTTGTGACACATTTACTGGGACAACCCACGGGGCCAGGGCCCAGGATGTACAGGCAATGGATGGACAGAGGCCAGCAGCCCTGGGCCTGGTGGCAGGGCAGCTGCATCAGCCCCACAGCCTTCATCCGGCCCAGCCACCCAAGCACCTTGGCCCCAGCACAGCAGGCTGACAGATGGGGCAGGCGCTACCAGGCTCACCAAGCACGGGCACATGGGGGTCCCCATAGGTACTCTGGACTCCATGGGGAGGAAATGCAAAAAAACCAAACCACTGACAAAGGGGAAGCAACTCTGTGTACGGGGCTTCAGTCCCACATCCCAGCAGGATGGCAAAGCTCACAGGGGCTGAGGCAGTCGGGGCCACGACGCTGCACCTCTGGGGTGTCTGCAGGGAAGTAGTCCTCCATCCGGAACAGTGTGGGCAGCTCAACCGCCGCAGGCACTGCTGCAGATGGTTTCTGAAATGACAAAAAGGCGATGCTGGGTCAGTAACTGGAATCCATTTGTCCTATGACTGGGAGCCCCACAGCAATGTGGACGCATTGCGACCAAGGTCTCTGCCTCACTGACAGAGCTGCAGATGAAGGAGATGGGCCAAAAGAAGCAAACTCACGCCGCAGAGGACCAAAGACCTGGGGAGTGGGAGGAGATGACAAACTTCCTAGGTGGGATGGGGATTCCCAGAGCCTGCACCATCTGGGATGTCAACTATGGTGCAGGAATGGACCAGGAAGAGAAGGGAGTACAGAACAGGCCAGGGGAACAGCATGTGCAAAGCAGGGTGTGTGGAGGCGGGGAACAGAGCTGCTCTGGCTGGACTGCACTGGTGTGACAGCAGGAAGCAGCGACAGGGCGGATGCATGGGGCTCCTGGCAGCCACGCTGAGAGCTTTACCCCAGAGCACAGCGAGCCTTTGAGCACATGTCATATGTGCCTGTGTTCACTGAGGTCTGTGTTTAGGGAGAATGGACCAAAAGCAGATGGCCGAGAAGAGCGGAGCATGAAGGGGCAGCTGCAAACATCCCCTGCACTGGATGCGGGAGGCTCCGCCTCTGAGCTCAGACATCGTGACTTCCCACCACGCTGAGCCCCTCCTTCCATTAAGGAAGGAATTCAAGAGTGGTCACTTGGGGGAACATGCCCCAGTGTCTGGGGACCTCACCCAATGGCAGCACCCTCTCCACATCTGGAAGGCCAGGATGAGCAATTCGCTTTGTCTGAGGGTCAGCCTCCCAGCAGACGAGGTGGACAGAACCTTCCATCCGGTCAGCCCGTGTCTGTGTGCTTGGCTCAGCCTGGCTGGGAGGCAGGGCCTACACCCCTCCGCCCCTTGTGTCCCCGCACCTTTTCCACTTCATCCTGCCTTACGGATCAGCACAGGCACAAGTCTGCCTGCTGCTGGCACCTTGTCAGCAAAACCAGAAAGGGAGGCAGCTGTGGAGATTCTACAGCATTAGGGATCTTCACCCCTTCCCTGAGAACCAGCCCTCACGGTACCCAGAAAACACAACTCATGGGTGAACAATGACGGCCAGGACCAACCCTCTCACCTGGATTCGTGACTGGAAGCCAGCAAACACCTTGTGATCCTGCGCAGATGTAGTCCTCCTCCTCCCAACCCAAGATCCTAGCATGAGCAGGGGCCCCTCAGAGACCCCAGGGGTCAGGGACCAGGCCAGAGTCCACGTCCTGGCTTGGCCTCTCCAGGGAGTCTGTGGGGAGCCCCATTCCTTTTGAAATGCTTGTACCAAGAGGGAGAAGCAGCAACAGGAAAATCGGTATAACCATGAAGGATCCAGGAGAAGGAACAGAGACCACGGCTCAGAGGCAGCCCTGTCTCTAGGCCCAGTGAGGCCTGGTGCCAGAAGCGCAGGGCTGGCAGCTCTCCACGTGACGAAGAACACCAGCTTTGCCCAGCCAAACATCTGGATAGGTATTGGCCCCCACTGCTAGGTGACTCATAGGGATCCACAGGGGCCCCCAAGGGACAAGGTACCCCAAACAAGCTGCGTTCCCTTTTCAGAAGGGTCAGCAGAGTAGAAGACGGCAAGAAGGCCTGAGGAAGCTGGTGTGGCCCTGAAACATCCTAGAGGTCGCTCTGGAGAGACACGGGTAAGTGACTCAGCTGGGTGGATGACCTGACCTGCTGACTGTCAGGTGTGGTGGCAGGTGCTGTCTGAGGGATCAAGTGTGACCTTCTGAGCCCAAAACACAGTCGTCAAGGAGAGGAGGTGGGCAGGGTGAGCGCTGCTCCGCCCCGTCCACTTCCCCTTCAGGTATCAGGATCCTGATTTCTCTAAGGGACTCCTTTGTACCTGGCTCCCAGGATCCAGCCCTAGCCGGTAGACCAGAAGTGGCCGGGCTCCACCAAGAAGCCCTCCTGTCTTCCACAGCCACTGGCCCAGGCCTCAGCATGTGACCCAAATGGACCCGTGCTGTGGTGGCAGGACTGCTCTCCTTCCTGAGGTATCAGCTAGAACCTGAGTGTGCTGAAGGCCTCTCATGCCACCGTGTGTGTGTGTGTGTGTGTGTGTGTGTGTGTGTGTGTGTGTGTGTACAGCACAAGGAGGCACAGTAGTGAGAGGGGGGAGGCACTCCCTAGTACTTGCTTTTGAGCACCTGAATCTGATTCTGCCCTAGGCTAGAATAACCCTGAGGCTGTTTCTGCACAGAAGCCACAAAATTCTCCTCTGCTTCAGTTGACCCAGGTTGCTGTCACTTGCAACTAAGAATCCTGCCTAAAACAAATACTAACTCCATAATGGTGCCAGCAAGGGCTTAGAAACCTGGAGCTCAATCAACAGGTGCAGGCAGGTGTGTGAGGCTGCAAAGAGACAGAGAACTCAGGTGCTGTGTGACACAGACGCCCCCACCAGGGCAGCTGAGCAAGGCCAGGCCCCAGGAGGCCTAGCCCCAATCACTCACACTAGGGGGTCATGGAAACTTTCATGCCCACTTCCTCTCTGATTCTCATGGCAACTCACAAAACGAGGAGTCCAAAGCCAGGTTAGCAAGGACTGAGCTGGGGTCCAGTTCCAGGCCTACCTTCTGCCCCTTGCCCACAGGCTCCTCAGAGACAGCAGCAAGCTCAAGCCCTGAGTCTTCCTGCACTCTGGAGCCCTCCAGCAGGTAAGGAGAGTCCACTCCTGGGCCAGCCAGGTAAACAAAGAGTAACCAAGGCTTTGAGCTCTGCCTCCCCACCCCACCTCCCAGCCTGAAGGCAGGAATGCTCCACTTCTCTGGGTGGGCAAGATCAAGACAGGAAACTTGACACCAGCAGGAGGACCCGGCAGGTCCAAGTCATCCTCCCTAGCTCACACTAGTTGTGAGGGTTGTGCCTGCCAAGCCAAGTACAGTCTCAGCTCCCCTCTTCTGCCTTGGACACTCGGGGTCCCAATCTTGCAGCCCACAGACTAGACAGGTGTGTTTGGTCTGCTCCATGATTTCATAAACTTTGAATTACAGACTGTCAATTTCTCATGGAAAATCAGATTATCTGGATGTTAAATGAGCCTCACTCAAAGGGTAGGATACAGGATTCCTAACCAATACACCTCAACATGGTCAGGGTCAGGGACGGTATCACAGACCAGAGAGGGCTGGAGGCATGTTTGCGTCTTGTACCAATTAAGTGGAATACAGTGTCTGGGACCAGTCCTAGGACAGACAGGGCTTCTGGGGAAGAACCAGTGCAATCAAATACACTGTGGAGCTCAGTCTAGAACAGGACATCAGCTTCGGTGGCTTCGCAGTCATGTGCTCCACTGCGACTGTGAAGAGGAGAAACTGGCAACACATGGTTCTAGCTCAGCAATCTAATTCTAGAAATTTTAAATTGTGTTTTTAAAAAAAGCAAACAGGGCTGGGGATTTAGCTCCGTGGCATAAGCACCTGCCTTGCAAGCAGGCGGTCTTGAGTTCGATCCCCGGTACCGATAAAAATGAAAAAGACAAAAAAAAAAAAAAAAAGGAAACAGAAGAAATGGATGAACTGAGCCCAGCCTCTCTCAATTCAACCACAGAGCAGGGTACTGACCACTCCTGGGTGTCCAGCCCATGAAGGGCCCCGCAAGTGCATGGGACATGGTGCACCCTTACAGCTGCCAGGCAAGGCCGGTATCCTCTGCCCACAGTTGCCCACAGTGTCCCACCGAGGAACTGGCAGACCTGAGATTTGAACCCAGGCCTGCCTGGCTAGAGCAGCTGCGCAGCCCAAGTCTAGAGCCTGGAGCTGAGCTAGGCCCAGGTAAGCTCTCCATTCGACCCAGGATGTCCTGCATCTCTGCTTCAAACTACAGGAGCCTCAAGCATTGCCCCCGCCAGGTGCTCAAGGACAGCTCACTGGTGGCCCCTGCTCTGCAGCCAGCCACAGACGCATCTGAAGGATGGGGGTTTCAGGTCAGCATGGAGGCCTGACTCTCTTCAACAGCTGAGCCACCTGGCCATATGCACGTTCCCCTGGGGTACAAGGAGCTAGTGCTGTCTGGCGTGCCACAGCTATTCATCCGCACCTATTCAGAGCCCTGTGAGCATCAGGGCTGGCTCCAGGCTTGCGGAGCCCAAGTAGGCTCCATAAGGCTGCTCAGAACGCCAGGTGGAGAGGTGCCTTGCTTCGCACGCGCTGCCCCCCACCATGGGACATTTGGCCTGTACCCCATCTGCCCTAGTGCCCACAAGAGCCCACAAGATAGAAGCTGTGGCTTCCTTTTCATAGCTGAGGAAGTGGTTGGGAGAGGCTGGACGGGCCAGTGCCAGGGCCTCTCAGCTGGCAAACAACTGGGACTCAGAGCTGGTTCTTCAGGGCTCTTGGCACAGGCTCATGGTCAGCCCACAGGCCTTCCTCTTGGGCCTGGCCTCTCTTCAGTCTGAGCTCAGGGATTTCGGTACATCAGGCCACGCCTGGCTGTCTTGCCTGCAGCACCTGTGTCTGCTCTAGGGCCCTATACCTCCCAGTTCATCCGGACAGCTGTGAGCTGAACCCTTCCCCTCTGCCAGCCAGAGGCCCTGGCATGTCCAATCCTGCCCATGGGGCTGGGCCGGGCTGGCCAGCTTCACAGAGCTGGCCCCTTCCCACCCAGAATCCTCCCACCCAGCCTCTGCCGACTCCATGGCCACTGTAACTAGGGGAAGTGGGAGGTGGCCAGAAGCACAGGACCAGTGCCCTAGGTAACCCCAGCAGCAGGGACAGGTGTGCAATCTCATTAAGGTGATGCTGACCCTAGGCAGCAGCCCTGGAAAGTTCCTGGATCCCCATAGATTCTGCTTTTAGCTGGGGGAAAAGTGTTAACATGGAAACCAGCCAAGGCGGGGCCCTGTTCTCCCAGGATGCTGGCTAGGAAATCCATGTACACTCACTCACGTGCGTGTGCACACACACACACACACACACACACACACACACACACAGACAGGCAAGTTGGGGGAACTAGTGTCACAGTACCTGCAAGAATCAGGTCTCC